GGAGTAGTCGTCGTCGTAGTAGTAGAAGTCGAGGTCGTCGTAGTCGTAGTACGCAGCAGCAGCAGCAGCAGCAGCAGCAGCAGAAGCAGCAGAAGCAGCAGAAGCAGCAGAAGCAGCAGTCGCCAGCACCAGCGGCACCACAACGGACCTTCCATGTCATCTCCCAAAGCCTCCTAAATGCCGCTTACGCCATTTACTACCGAGATGGCGTGGCAACATCAGCAAGACCGGACGATTTGATCAGCTCCTTGGCATGTCTCATTCAGACTGAGACTCCAGATTTTGGGCCCCGCCCCCATTTGCGAGAGCTCGCGTCGACTTCGAGGGTTTAGGGTTTAGGGTTTAGGGTTTAGGGTTTAAGGTGTACGGCAAACCCGAAACTGCGCTTCGAAGCTTTTGCAGGTTCATGGACAGTCACCTGGGGCTGGTGTTCGACACGCTGGACCCGACCCTTGGGCTTGGCAAGATTTGGGAGTTTCCGAAAATAAGGCGTAGTCCTTATAATAAGGCTCCTACTATTTGAGGTACTATATTAGGGTCCCCTATTTTCGGAAACCTCCAGTTTGTGAAGAACGATCAATACAGTCACACTACTCTAACCGTAACAAGCATCGTCAGCATCAACCCTAGAAATCACAAGTTATGTTTTTAGTGCAAAGTGCCAAGAGGATTTCGCTGGAGCCACAACGGATCAAGAGGTCTCGAACTCCAGCTAGCGGGGTTTTCGTGGTTTTGGATTTGGGTTTTTGGTGTTATCGCATGCCAACAGTTTTACTATAGCAGCAACAACGAATGCTGTTTGGAATTGTTGAGGCTCATGGTAGAGGATAAGTCACGACAAAGAGACCCTGGTCACAGAGCGAGTTGCTAACAACTGCATACAAATACGGAGACCCAAATGCCTCGACGAGGCTTGTGGAGAAGTGGCAGCGAGACGGCGTGCCCTTCATCTGCCGCCGCCTGGCGCTGTTTGTGTCTTTTGGGTGAGGGGGCGGGGGGGGTTTGGGGGTTTCCTGTAGCCTTTGTCAGATAGATCTGATGTTGGTGAACCTGCAGTTTGGCATGTTCTCCTTTTTGAGCACGGAGTCTGGGACGTGAAGTGCAAGCGCTAGAGGATGCATGGGGTGTCAGGGATCACCGGGCGCAGTTGCAGAGCTTAGGATGTAGGCCTCAGCGTTAAGGCGGCAGGGTTTTAGTGCCTAGGATAACGGGCCAAAGGTTTGGAACGATGCAAATTCCAAAGCACGACAGAGCTTAACCTTGTACGTTGACCTCCAACTCCTGTAGTATAGAAGCCGAAATACTTACCGATATTTTTTCTTAAGGTTCTTTATTGTAGCGGAGCCCGAAACCCTATTCCAATTGTTAAGGCCCCTACACTAGATTCACTAGATGCAGGCATCCGGTGCTTTCCAGATCTTACGGACACTTCATAACCCCCCCGCCCCCCCCCCCCCACCCCGCCCCGGTCAAAAGGTTTCGCCTAAGAGGGAACCCCTTCAAAACGCTGGTAACCATCCCGACAGGGACTTATAGGCCCTAAACCCTACACTCCTAGACCCCGTATCTTAAACCTAAACAACCTTAAACCCTGAACCCTCAACCCTAAACCCTACACCCTAAACCCTGAACCCTAAACCGACCTGGGATCCTACGAAGGATCTTGGTGCTGCGGCCCCGGATTTGCTCAATGGCCGGACCGCTGTCCTTTCGGGCCAAGCAAGGACAGAAGGGGGCGGTCTAGGGTTTAGGGTTTAGGGCTTTGCTTAAACACTCAGTTGCTTTCTGTTCTGTATCGTTTTCTGGAGGTGTTCACTGGGGTCGCAGCTTTGGGGATTCTGGGGATGTTGGATTTGCGGAGGCGTCGACCTCAATCTTTCAAGTCGAATGGTCCGAAAACTTGAAAAGCTAGTATAGTGACCTGAAATGTACTCCCAGAGCCCTGTTCCGATTCATAGCTTCCCACCCTAAACCCTAAACCCTAAACCCTAAACCCTAAGCCCTAAACCCTAAACCCTAAACCCGAAACCCTAACCCTCCCAAACTTTTGAAAGCCTTTCCACGATCCTGTCGGGCTTGGGGTCCAGAAGTACAGGTTAAGGTTTAGGGTGCAGGTTAAGGGTTTAGGGTTTAGGGTTTAGTTTTCAGGTTTAGGGTTTAGGGTTTAGGGCTAGGGTTTACGGTTCAGGTTAAGGGTTTAGGGTTGAAGATTTAGGATTAAGGAGTGTAACAACTGCAGGAATGAGGGGTTTCATGCTTCGACCCGCCATGTGTGGTCGGGGAAGTCCGGGGGTCGTTTTCAGGGTTTAGGGTTTAGGGTTTCGGACCTGCTGTAAGGCGGTTGGAGTTTGGAGCTCCAGGCCTAGATTCACGGGATGGGGTGAAGGTTTGGGGTGTGGAGAAGTTGCCAGTTTTCACTGCATGACGGTGTTCACGAGCTGCTGCAAGGTTCACACCCCACAGCTATGTTCGGGGGAACTTGGTGGCCATAACCGTCTAGCCTACGAACACAATGTCCTTCGCCTTGCCCTTCGCCTAGAAGCCGGCAGCAGCCAGGACAGCGATTTTTGCGAGCAGGGCTGCTATGTCGAGGTGCCGCACGGAATCATTCTGGAGGCCCCCTGTGCAGCATCCAAAGTGTGGGTTTTGACAAGTCAGGCAGACATGCGACGGAGCAAAACTCAGATTCTGGCAAGGCCTTTTAGATGTCATGCAGAACGGAAGATTGCCAACAACAACCAGCCCCGTGAACGAAACATGAAACACAGGCTCGATTGGCATGCTGCGCCAAAACGGCTTATGCAACGACACCAAGTTAGTGCAATGTAAGCTTGACGATCGGCAAATTGATGTAAGGCATGAGAACAAGATCTTTCGCGGCATGGTCGTCCAGAAAACTCTACTAGCATATGGGTGGTCTCTGAAAGGTGCTCAGAACACCCGACGCGTGCGAACGAACGTTCCCTGCTGCCGGTTTGAGAACAACTCCCACTTGTTGTTTAGATGGGGTTCTAGAACTGAGGGCCAAGTAGAGAGCGTAAAGAGTGGGACCCTAAATCCTAAACCCTAAACCCTAAACCCTAAACCGGGATCCGCATTGCAAGGACCTTGAGATATTGAGGCATCCGAACGGGGACCCTGAACTCCAACTGGTGGGACCCTTGCTCATGAGGACCCTAACAAAAACTCCTTAAGTAAGAGACCCCCAGTATTAAGAAAGCCTAAATCCTAAACCCCTAACCCTAAACCCCAAACCCTAAATCCTAAACCCCTAAAAGCATGCAATTCGTCAGAACCCCGTAATTAAGGGAGCCCAGTATTAAGAAAGCATACATCCTAAAGCCCTAAGAGCATGCAGTTCGTCCACATTGCTATCAACACCAAGGCTCTGTGCGGCATGGAGAACTACCAGGCTGCCACCATGCCACAAACAGCTGCATATGGGTCGTACTCTAAATTGGGGTCCCTTTTAGGGTGCATTTCATAAGGGTGCCGTACTATATTGGGGATATATTGGGGAGCTAGAAAGGGACCCTAATTTAGAGAACTACCCATATGTGCCTCCCACACATGGCATTATAGGTTTAGGGTGTAAGGTTTACCTGCGCAGACACACTCACACATGCTACTACTTCTGCTTCTGTTTGCTTTTTTGCTTGCTGGTGCCACCGCTTCGATTACGGTGGTCATGTGTGCTGTTGAGTTGATTGTTGCTCTAAGGCGAAGCCCTAGACCTCTCGGTGTAATGTTCCTTCTGTGTCTGCGACAGGCTTCTCGAAAGTGCCTGACGAAGGTGCGTCGGATTGCTTTTCCTGGGGGGACGGGGTCTGGAAGCTGTTCAGGGCTCTGGGTTCTGGTCGAGGATTCGGGCCGGCTTCAGGATCAAACTGCATGAACTGTTAGGATAGTTTTCAACATTAGGGTCACTTCTGGGGTCCTTTTTATAAGGGTGCCGTACTTTATTGGGGACCTAAAAAGAGACCCTAATTTCGAAAACTACCCCTATAGTAATCCCCCAACCTCTGAACCCCCTATGCCCGGTTTTCTTGTTGTGGTGTCCGCGCATGTGGTGGAACATTCACAGCACGCCGCATTGCTCTGCTTTGCAACTACTCCCAAACTATCTTACAGCAGTTGAATCCAATCGAATGCTACTAAACCCAACGACTTACACCCTTGATCCCAGGTGCCGCCTCACCAGTTGAAGGCTTTCGATTTGTGCTCGGACAACTGAAGCGAGCCACGGAATCACTCATCGAGTGCTTGGTTTTGGTGAGGTTGTTTGTTCTTTGCTTCACGGCAAAGGTACATTCTATAGTTTTAGACTCTTGTTGTAATAGTCTGATGGTTAAAGTTGCCATTGTCAATCTCACAGCCACGGTCTGGGTGCCATTTTCCTAGCAACGCTGTGAAGCAGCGCTGTGGCAACCAGGAAGATAAGTCTGACGGGTGACAGCAGTGGCAAGGGAAAAGACACACAGTGCTTGGAGGGGCAATTCGTAGGAGCAGAAAGTGTCGTCTTAACCGTGGTGGTGGTAGTGGTCGTGGCAGTATGTAGCAAGAGGAGTAGCAGTAGCAGTAGTCGGGGTAGTAGCAGCAGCACCAGCAGCAGTAGTCGTAGTAGTCGGGGTAGCTGGGCATTGCAGCTGCGAAGGCTGCCAAACCCAACGATGAGATTGAACATTGATGCAACTCCCCAAACAAATACAAACCCTGAGCCCTAATCTCTGAGCCGTGAGCATTTAGCAACAAGGCCGAACCCGTGGCCGGGCCTCTATAAAAACCTAGAAACTCTAGTTACAAGTACACCAAGCTCATCATAAACGCCTCAGCAAAACTCACCAACCCCCGTAGCAAAATCCCAAACCCTGAACCCTCAACCATGAACCCACAAGCCCTAAACTGCTCAGCCCGCGAAACCTAAACCCTAAACCCCTAA